GAGTTGCTCCAAAAACAGTACTAACTTTTTGTTTTTGAAGCGATTTTTTTCTGCGTTTCGAAGCAATTTTTCGTTTTGTCCGATGAACACGCCATATGTTTTAATCTAGGAATTTTTTTTCAACTAAATTTTTAATGTTTGCGTTTGTATTTTTATTCATTTGTCCCATTTCCATGTATTTATTACTAAAATATGACGTTTAACATGCTTTTATAAAACTTCTAGGTTCTGTTTTGTGTTTATTGGATAAAAATTCTTTGATACCTATTTCGTATTTTTTTGACATTTTTTTGTTAAACCAACCGCGTTTAAAAATCAAGGCTTGCAATGCTTATTCTAAAGTTGAGGGGGAGGAGGCAACTCTAGACACCCCCCGCCCAGTCCAAAATCTTCAAGAATGAAATCTCCGGCTCAAGTTGCACAGAAAAAACTTATTTCTCACTAGGGAATGGTCTCCATTCGCAGTGGGACTTCTGAATGAGACTAGGTTCACTAGATGTAGTTTTTTACGCTGATTCCAAATCTGGTCTCGAAAACTGCCCTCGAAACCTGTGAAAAAAGTTAGGGGCTCTCAAAGTCGAAAAATTTTATGTCTTCTATTGAGCTCATTTTTGGAGGGTATATAGATCTTGTCCCTCTGGTCACGAAAAACCATCAAATTTCTCTCAAAAAAATTTCGGAGCCCAGATATGAACTTTCAAAGCCCCGCCTAACACAAGAGCATGCGAGCGCGGTGTCCTATGGCGATCCGACGGCTGTCGAAGCAACGGCAGCGAGGAGCAGTGGTAAGGCGGCGGACTGGGGATCACGAGGTCATAGGTTCGGTACCCACGCTGTGCAAACTTTTTTTGCGATTTCTCCTTTTTTGGATACTTTCGTCTAACTGCTCCTTTTTTGAGTTTTGAGGCGTATAAACACGAAAAAACTGCGTTTTGAACCTATTCCAACAGCTGAAATTCTTTTTGTCGCAAATTTTTTTCATGAAATTTTCGTGTTTTTCCATGTATATGAGCATGAGTTGGAGTGTCAAAATTTTTCAGAAAAAAATTTTTTTGGTTTTTTTCTTTTTTTCTTTTTTTCCAAAAGCTGTCTGAACCGAAGTCATCACAGCTACGCTGACCGACCACAGAAAAAAATTTTTTTCTTCAAAAAACCCGTCGTTATTTGCAGTGGGCTCACCTATGACCATCGCATTTTGCCGAAAAAAAAAGAAAATTCCCGCGATTTGCCCCAAATGGAAAAGATTGAAAATGTCCAAAAAACTTATATCTGAAAGAAAATTCATTTTTCTTATTTTCAGTTTCTTTTTTATTTTGGAACTTTCTACTCGCCGAAGTCTGACTATAACCTTTCAAAATTTTCATTGAACGGAAGTTTTTAGTGAGGTTTTTTTCTATTAATTTTATTCACGGATCAAAGGAAGCCTCCTTGAAAGTTTCAGCAAAAACCTCAATTAAATTTGGGTGATTTTTTTCTCGTGAAGAGGTAAGTGAGCACAGCAGTCTGAAAAAAATTATTGAAAAAAATTTCCGCATCATCTATCAGCGTAGCTGTGATGAATTCGGTCTTGACAGCTTTTGGAAAAAGAACAAAAGAAAAAAAAAACCAAAAAATTTTTTTTGAAAATTTTGACAATCCAACTCATGCTCATATACATGGAAAAACACGAAAAATTTCATGAAAAAAATTTGCGACAAAAAGAATTTCAGCTGTTGGAATAGGTTCAAAACGCAGTTTTTTCGTGTTTATACGCCTCAAAACTCAAAAAAGGAGCAGTTAGACGAAAGTATCCAAAAAAGGAGAAATTGCAAAAAAAGTTTGCACAGCGTGGGCACCGAACCTATGACCTCGTGATCCCCAGTCCGCCGCCTTACCACTGCTCCTCGCTGCCGTTGCTTCGACAGCCGTCGGATCGCCATAGGACACCGCGCTCGCATGCTCTTGTGTTAGGCGAGGCTTTGAAAGTTTATATCTGGGTTCCAGAAAATTTTCGAAAAAAATCAAATAGTTTTTCGTGACCGGGGGAACAAGGACTATATACCCTCTAAAAATGAGATCGATCGGAGACATCGAATTTTTCGACTTTGAGAGCCCCTAACTTTTTTCACAGGCCTCGAGGGCAGTTTTTGAGACCAGATTTGGAATCAGCGTAAAAAACTACATCTAGTGAACCTAGTCTCATTCAGAAGTCCCACTGCGAATGGAGACCATTCCCTAGTCAGTTTTCTGATTGATTCGGCGAAAATGAGAGACATGGGGTTTTTGAAGAGACGTTAGAGAAATGAAATAGTCTCTTTTTTCTCTGGCATCTCTTCAGGTCTGCTGATCTCTTTTCCATGATTTTTAGCGTCCTTTTTTGGATATGGGAAGAACAAGGTCTTGATTTCTAAGAAAAAAACATTCAAAACTGTTTTTTTACCGAGTTTAAAATTTTCCCCAAACAGGCTGAATATGGTTTTTTTTGTCACTTTGCTGATTATAAACGATAGAAAAATCAGTTTTTAACAGTTCTTTCCAGTTGTTAACTACTTTACCCCAGAAAAATATCTAGAGAAGATCCTTTCAAGTTCTCATTAAAACTAACAACACAAGACGATTTTCTGGTCCAGAACAAGCTCAATTCACAGCGTTCTAAAACGGGGTTCACGCAGAAAGAGGCGCAAACTATTCTTAATGGAGCGCGTAACTTGGAGCGTTGTCAATCAAAATCAAAGTGCTTTTTTTTCTTTAATTTGAATGCTATCAACTTTTTTTGATTGTTTTTAAAAATCTTTTTTTTTGTTTCTATGCACGTAAATTTTTAATTAATGTTTTTAAACGTATTAGAAAGTTTTTAAAGTATCCATAGCTCGGTAATGTGTCGAAACGTTGTTTAAAAAAGAAAATACTGTATCCAAGAGATAAAACCGAAAATCGAAATTCCAACTCCAAGAATCGATCAAAATATCAGTTTCCAACTAATAAACAAGAAAAAAAAGCTGTCAGTGTCCGCGCAAAAGAGAAAAATTTCGACTTGACGAAAAAATTCAAAAAAAGGTGTAATTGGTCTGTACCTAAGAGACAAAAGAGAAAATCGAAATTTCAACTCCAGGAACCGATCACATTATTAGTTTTCAATTACTTAAACAGGAAAAAAAAGAATACAAAATCAAACCTGAGTTAAAAATTTCGACTTTCGTGAACAGAACAATTATGTAGTCCTTTGAACCAATCAAACCACAAGAAAATAAACTGCGACATTTTAAGAGAGTTATAGGAAATGACTAGCAACACTTGGAAACTATAAATGTCAGGAAAAAAAATGCTAGCCTTCAAATAATCAAAAAATCCGGACTCTTAATTACGACGCGAAAAAGACGATTGTTAGCCACGCCCACTCATGCAACGTCCGCATGCTTTTCAGAAACGGGGCGGGAACATCGCTTTAGAACGCTGTGAATTATCGATCAATAGAAAAGATTTTCTTCATTTTTCGACCTAGAAACCAATTTCAAACCTTCTCCAAGATCTCAATATCGTTGTGAAGTTGCTCGCGCTCGATTTTATTCCTTAATCGGCATTTTCTCGAGGCCCTCGTGTTGCGATCCTTCGTCGTTTCCTAAAACACCTTGATTAGTTGGACCACCACCTTCTAAAACTCACCGAAGGCTGCGGTTTTTCGACTTCCGAGAACTCCTTTTCCAGTCTCGCTATTGATTCCTGAACAAATCTTCATTTAAAACAAGATTTCTAAAAAAAATCGAGAAAAACCTCGCGGGAGCCGTGAATTTCTACGTTGTTCGTGTAGATTTCTTCTTTTTCTTTCAACGTATCTGCAATTTTTTCACATAGAAATTTAAAAAATGGGTTAAATTCCTACCTTCAAGCGTTTTCCTCACGGTGCCCTTCAAACTAATCCAAGAATCCGTGCATTTGATATCACAAAACCGGTCGACGAGTTCTATCAGCTTCTCTGCATTCTTTTTCACCTATAAAAAAATTTTATAAGTGAAAAAAACTGGAAAAAATAGAGATTCTTGAAAGAAAACGTTAAAAAAATTCCCCCAGGGTCTACTTATTCATATGAAATGATTTGCTCGACTTTTTTTACTCTCTATAAAAAAAATATTTCCAATTCAATTTGTATGAAAGTTATTCTAAAAAAATAGAAGATTTTTCTAAAAAAATCAGTTCTCCAATTCAATTTTTTAAAAAAATCAGTAAAACAATCTACTCTATTTGAGAAAAACCCTGCGAAAAAAATATGAAAACTAAATTTTCAAACTTTCTTCCTTTTTAAGAATAAATACACTTTTTTCAGTAGAAAAAAATCTAGAGAACTCAGTTATTAATGCCAATTTTGCTTCTATACAACGTCAAACGAGTTGTTTTTTTAAAAAAATGCGTTAGTTTTAGAAAAAAAGATTTTTCATAGCATCAGTTTCAAGAAGGAGAGATACGAATAATGAAAATTAGGGATTTAAAAAATCTGTTTAGCTCAAAATTGCTACTTTTTCTAAGTTAAAAAGACCTACTGAAGCATATACTCGGATAAAGTCGGAATGGTGGATAAAAATAAGGAAGCTCAAAAAAGGCCGCAGGAAGGCAGCAAAAAAGTCCCTTTACCAAACTTGTCATTTTTTCTGGATTTTAAAAGCTCAAGAGATAGTGGAAAAAGGGAGAGGCAGCAAAAATGCTGCATAAGAGCCGATGAAATGGCGCAAAAAAGCAGCGAAAAGGAGCCTTTTCTGACTTTGCCTTGGTCATGAACTATAGCTGATTCACGGCTGGCTTGAGCCATCGAAAAAAGGTCTTACTTACTTACTTAGATACTTAGATGGTCCATCTTCGCTTTCGACCTTTTATTGCCTTTTAGTGCCTTTTATTGATCGAAGCGTGGACCACACGTTTTCCAGGAGGTCTTATGCAATCGGTCATCCAGTGTTGTCGTCCTGGTTGACTGGTATTCTTGCGAAAAAGTTCCATCCGTGGTGTTGAACGTGTTATAGCATAATTGTGGTCTTATTATCCTTTTTGCCTTGCCAGGGCTAAAAAAGACCGCCCATTCTGTTAGCAGAAGCAAGCCGAATTGCGTGACCGGTGTACCGTTAGCCGCCATAAATGGCGTTGCCTCCCCATCAAAAAAGGTCCTGACACGATAATGCACGAAATAGCGCCTGGCTCGTGGAGAGCGCAGACAGGACACGCCCCCTTAGCGATAATTCCATGGGGTCCAAGAAGAAAGGAACTTTTCGTGTTTTTCTTCAAATCACACAAGGCTTCTGTGCTTTTAAACAAACCAAAAAGATATTTCTCAAAGTCCTGAAAACCAACATCGCTGTCCGTGAAGACGGCAACAAGGAACTCCTCGATTCCTTTATATTCCGACTCCAATATCGGCATCCTTGAGCGGCACGCATCGATTTCCATTTTATTTCGTGTCGTATAGGCCCGCGAATTCTTCGCGTTTTCCTTCCGACGATCTTCGACACTCTGAAACCATAAAAAGTCGGAAAATTCTCTTTTTTGGAAAACCTGCGGAGCTATCCTTTTTTGGCAGCTTCTTTCTTTCCGTCTCTGATAGTGCCGATAATCGCGGCCCTCGAATTTGACGACTATCACGCCTGGATTTTGATCACACGTCATTTCACCTAAAAATCAACAATTTTTTCAATTTGTTCCCATTGAACGATTAACCGAGCTGGGAATGAGAACAACTGGAATCTGCCTCGCACTGGGAACTCTCACCTTCCATAAACGAAAATCTGTAAACGGAAAAATTGCAAAAACTTCTAAAATCCCAGTGAAAGCGAGAACAAAGGAAACAGAAATTAATGATGATACAGTTTTTCTGGTTCAAAAGCGGCGAAACGCGGTAAATTCCCACGCCGTGATTGGTTGACCCCGCCCATCTGGCAATATACTTTGAAAACAAAATCATATTGGACATTTGCCAATTTTCGGCACGTGCCGTTGAACCAGAAAAACTACTTCTCAACGCGTCAAATTAGCTTTGAACGCGGTATGAGAGAAAAAAAAAAACTTTGCTCGGGAGTTTAAAGGCGCATAGATAATTTTCTTACAGGTTTCAAGGGGAAATTTTTTTCTTTTAGTTGCCGGATCGTTTGTGCCCTTGAAAAAAATTTTTAGTAAAGTCCTTTTAAATTTGAGAATAAAGAGTTAAATTATCAAGGTTGTCAAAAAAATAGAAAAAGCAGAAAGTAACCTTTTTTTCGAGAGCTGAAAAAAATGAAAAGAATCAAGAAAATATGAAACCAAAAAAACACAGAACAACCTCAAATTCTTGATGAATTGAAAACAAAGGCATTAATGTGAAGAAAAACAGGAAGTATCGATTGAAGACTACAACCGTGAAAAACAATTATAAAAAAAGAATGTTCTTATTTTTCTTTTTTTCTTAGTTTTTTTAACTATAGAAAAAGGTGAGAGAAGTTGGGAGGTCTTAAATTGAGTTGAAATCTCAGTTTTGGAGTTAAATTGAAATATTTTCTCTTGAAAATGTTCTTTTGAAATGAGAACTTTTTCGTAAAAAAAGCCTTACTTGGTCACGAGATTTTACCAATAAGTGTTAGATTCATTGGATATACTGAGAATGAAAAATCTGATTTTTTTCTAAAAAAAGTATTTTTTTACTCTAAAAAAATTTCCTTGCATAATCGCGTCCTACACTTAGTGATATTTAAACTTAAAAAAACATACGAGGAAGAAGAAATCTTGAAAAACTGTTGAATTACAGAAAAAAACTTCTCATCGTTGCGATGTGATTTCTCAATTCCCCGCTACGCTCCTTTAAAGGCATAGGGGCAGTAAAAAATGGTGTTTCAGGTGAAAGCAGTATCTTATACAGTTTTTCTTTGCGAATCGGATGGTGTACTCAAAAAAATTACAGATGTGACAAATTTAGTAGAAAAATGCGATTTTACTTTCCCGCCTTTAATTTTGCAAAAGCTTTGGATCGGTCTACGGACAAATGTTTACAGTAGCCGTGCACGCGATGTTGCGGACGTCTCATTAGACTCGCTTTTTGTGAGAAATAACTGGATATCTGCTTCAAATCAAGGATTTTTTCTCTGAAAAATCGATTAAGAAAACAGAAAACACACATTGATAATAAAGAAAACACAAATAATCGCTACCCCAATCGAAACCTATGTAAAATCATCATTTTTCACCAGAAAAAGCATTTTTGCGATCAAAGTATGCAAACTATACATGAATAGAAAGCTTTTGTGACGAAAAGAACTTTAGTGAAAATAGAAAAAATTGAAAATTGAAAGAAACGAAGAAAAAAGCGAAAATCCGGAAGATGGCGATGCTTGTTGTCCATAGGGCGACTTTACTGCAAAGCGCCCTTTTCACGGGAACTCAAGCTTTCATTTCTCCAACTTTGAATTATTTTTTCTCCAAAACTAGGAACTTCTGTACGTTTTCAAGTTAACCGTCTCGATTCGCAATGAAAAAAACTCTACAAAGTACTGCTTTGAACTGAAACACCGTTTTTTTACTGCCCCTATGCCTTTAAAAAAAGATATATTATATTTATAACCTTTTTCCGGTGATAATTTCGTCATTATTGATTCAAATGCCGCAGGTAAAGATGAAGAAAGTCGAAATGTAAAACGCTGGAGAGAGAGAGAGAGAGAGAAGAGAAGATGGAATAGAAGGAGAAAAAAAAGAAGAAAAAAATGGGGCCGCCTGGCGGGTGGAATGATGTGAAAGGCGCAAACATGAGCAAAAAGTTAGGTGTCGCGTGGCAAATATCTATACAGCGGACGGGCAGTCGTGAAAAAGCCAACATTATTGAAAGACGTGATTTTTTTGGGAAAAAAAGTGAGTCATGTTAATGATAAAAAAATAAGAAGATTACTCTTGTTCTATTTCAAAACATTGCGATAAATAGATAGAATTTTTGAGAAAATTTGAATTTTTTTGAATATTGAAATGAAAATGGGAACTCAAAATTCCTTGCCTTTTTCATAAAAAAACAAGGCTTTTTAAATGAAGGTTTCAAGGCGGAAAGCTGGTTTCAGCGATTAATCAGATTTTTTTCAAGACTTCTGCGTCTTTAAGGACCTTCCAAAGATATCCAGGTTCCACCAAAATCTTTTAATTATTTGAAAAAAATTCAAAATGAAGTTCTTAATTGATCAAAACGAAAGTCGTTTGAAAAAAAGACCCCCAAACAAGTCATTTTCAAGCCTCAAGTGGGTTAACTTGGTTAAAAACTCACAGAAGCCTCACTGAAGGCTTTAGAAATACGTAAAGATTCGTTGGAATCAAAAAGAATCTCTGAAATTTTTCGCAAAAATACTGAAGAAATTTCCGAAATTGCCTGCAATCGGACCACTTCAAAGTCATTTTTTTGCCCTTCAAAGTGAATAAAAAAATGGTTCAAAAAAATACCTGGACCTTAACCAAGACTTCTAGATTATAAATAACTCGAAAAACAAGGTTAAAAAAATAGATAATACGACTGGAAGAGAAAGAAAAAAAGGACGCGCAAAACGGCGGCCCAGACACCCTTCTCCCAGACCAAATCGATTGTTTCCGTGGTGTGTGGCTGGCGAGCCAGTGTGGAGAGAACGTCTGACACTGAGTGATAATTCGCTCTCATAAATATGATTGATATGATTACGCTAATCACTTTGTTCTACTGAAGTTGTTTTCTCAAACAAAAATGAATAAAAGTTGAAAAGAGTTGCATTTTTCTGTAGATTCCCGACAAGGGAGGTCATTTTACTTTTTAGATTTTCTTGAAAATCGGCCAGAACTTTCCTTGATGTACCAGAAGAATATTCTGAAAATCTCAACCTGCACAACTTTCTCGTTTTTGAGCAAGCCAAAGAAAACCCTCAAAATCTATTGAAATGGGCCATTTTTGAACTTTAGATCCATTTTTCGTAAACTAGAAACTTGTGAGGTTGAGACTTTCAGGATCTTCATTTGGTACATCAAGAAGTGTTCTGGCTTATTTTTAAGATATTCCCAGCCGCAAAGTAAAATGACCTCTCTTGTCAGTTATAAACAGGCCCTAATTATCATTTAAAATATACAAAATTCTTTTTTTCAAGGCTCTCTTACTACTTTCTATTAAAGGTTTTGAAGCGATAAGTGGCTTTTAGTTTTATTTTCGGCTTTGATTTCATTTCTTGAAAGATTCTGAAGAAACTAAAAGTGTTTTGACGGGTTATTTAACTGAAAATTGAAAAATGTTTCTTTTGAACGAGCCAAAAACTTGTTTTAACTAGGTCTTAACAAAAAATACCTACATTTTGAGTCCGACTTGATTTTTCAGACTGAAAGGGTGAAAACCCGGATAATTATAAGTTATTCGAAGCATCATCAAAAGTCTTGAATAAGAAAAAAATTTTAACTGTCAAGCTGACATCTTTAGCCTGAAATAAACATATAAAAAGACGATTCAAACTGTAATTACTCGAAACAAGGCTTGAATCTTATAGAATATGAAAGTTGTTTCAAATTGTCTCCGTGAGAGCAAAAAGAAAGTGGAAAATATGAGTAAATTTGGATTTACACGAAGTAATTTTTAACAATTTAGAAAATTAAATCGAAAAAATTCTTTTTCTTTCTCGAATAAACCAAAATATATCTTCATTTTTAATTGATAAGCCTTTCCCAATTGTGATAATCTTCTCAAAGACAGACGTGTGGGGCTCGCGGAGCCCTAAAGTTCGGCTCCAAGAGCACTTGAAGTGGTCAACACTTGACGTGTTGCTGTATGTGTCCGTGTGTGTGTGTGGCTTTGGCTGCCTGGCTCCTGGTCATTTAATCTTTTTGATTTCTGGTTTTTGTCTGATAAATTCAAAAATTATTATTGAGCTTTCATTTAAAAAAAATAGAGAACAAAAAGTTGAAAAACTTGATATTAGAACGATTTTCCAACCTCTTATCGATAATTGGATCATTTGAAGTTAGCTTCAAATCAATTTTCTACCTTCGTAGCATGAAAAACTAAAAAGAAATGAGAAAAATTTACCTTTGCTGTGAAATTTCTGACCAAACCTTTTCTGAAACACGCATCGGCAGCTTCACCACGAGCGAGACTGTTTATAAACCGTTATGTGACAAAATTATTAAAATAATCAAAGAAAAGGAAAAAATTGAAGGGGAAAAAAGAAAATAGGAAAATTTTTCAAATTTCGAAACATGAGCTTCTGCGTCGGGGTAATGCACATACATTACAAATTACGCCAAGCTTTTTCCGTAAAAAATTTCTGTCGTAAAGCGAACTCTCTCTTTTTCAATTGCAATCGGTTTTTAAAGCGGGGTTTTCATAATTAATAGCAGCACCTTCGGGATCGAAAGTTCAAAAGGAAAATCTCCTTTATCTCTCAGTGAGCCTCAAAATCAATTCAAAAGGCTTTTCTGTTTTTCGAAAGTTCGTCGTTTTCCTTCCTGTTCAAGTTGGATTGTTAGTGAGTTTTTCACCTATTTTCTGTGCCGCCTCAATTTTGAGAGCATTTTTCTCAAAAATTGAGTTCAAACTCGAAAAATTGCTTTTTAGGAACAAGGTCATGCAGGCAAATGACACTCTGTCCGCGAAATTTCGACTTTACTTGTTTCATCCTACTTTTTATTTCACTCTGTGAACTTGAGGTTATGAAAAAAATGTTTATTTTCAGGTGGGAAGTTACTAAATAAATGGATTATGATGCGGACACACTAACAACTGCAAAAAGAAACCGAGCCGCGAGTCAACAATTTTACGACTTTATTTTTATTGGTTAGTTTTTTTAAACTTAAATAAGTCTTTTTGCTAACAATAGTTTTGGATGTAAATTTTTATTCGGCCTAAAATTTCTATATTTTTGAAAGGCGCATGCTCACAGACAGTCCGTGCGCTTCGAAGGGAAGGGTTCCGTGGGAGAAAATTGATAAAATTGTGAAAACCTGGCGCGAAATGGGCTATACTTTCTGTTACTTTAGCCGTAGTTAGTAATATTTCGCTTTTTACAGTAGAAATATACAGTATCCGGTACTGATTATCAAATTTATTAGAAAAGTTAACTTCTCAGGATTACTTTTCAGGGTGTTTAAAGGCGCAGAGGCTTGGATGCCCTATAAAAAAAGGTATTTTTTTTGCCTAGAGACCTTCATTTATTTGGTCCATGTGCCTTTAAAAAAACTCAACAAGCGTTTCTAAAACCTTCATTAAATATTCAATATGGTGGCAATAATCATTAAAATGATTTTTTGCAAAAAGTTTTTTTATCAATATTATAAGTAAAAAAATTCGGGAAATGAATAAAATAGCGAAATGTTAGCTTTTGGTTAAACAATTTGGAGCTTCGATTCTGGATGATGAAAAAAATCGAAGTCTACTAGAAAAACTTATTATTTTCAAGCACTATTTTACTCATCGGCAGGACCTTTTTTCGAGAAATTTGGATGGTCCTTTAAAATTTTATCAATTTAGCTCGAAATTAAGCCATTTTTGTGATTAGATGGCTTCATTTCCAGTTTTTTGCGTAAGATCAACACGCCATTAATATTTCGACCCCAAAACGTCCAAAGAAGGGATTTTCTTGCTGATTCTTCAAAAATTGAGCTTTTGTCCCGAAAAACATTCAGGATTATACCAGAGCGACTTATTTTTTCAATGACCTCACAAGGGAGGTGATCTTGCCAGAACGGGTTTCAACCCCCAAACTAGCCTATTTTAGGTGTTTTTAGGGTTTTCTTTGACTTTGAATCGTCTTTTTCTCGAAAACGAGGGGTAGAGATTTTCAGAACCTTCTTCTGGTACAACAAAGTGTTCTGGTCAATTTTCAGGAAAATCGCAAAGTAGAATTACCTCCTTGTTAGGAAGTAAAAAACAATCTTTTTTTTTGTTATAGTCAATGTTTCCCGACTTGAAAGGCGAAGGAGGCGGGGCAGGGGGCGGGACGCGTAGCGTGTGCGTTCGCGGTTCTTGGCACGAGTTCAATTCAATTGCCGCCGACTATTTAAAAAGCTCGGCAACCGCTCTTTTTCATTGTTTTCTACTATTTTTTGATGCACACATGAACATAATCAATAAATAATTGAAAAAGGAATGAAAAGAACGAAAAACGGGATCTTCAAAGAGTAGATGGCGGTTGAATTGAACACGAGCCAAGAACCGCGAACGCACACGCTACGCGTCCCGCCCCTTGCCCCGCCTCCTTCACCTTTCAAGTCGGGAAACATTGACTATATTTTTAAAAATTTTTCATAACAGTCCGGGAGTAGGATTCTTTGAAACCTCAACTGAAAAATGTCAAATTTCCAGTTTTTTAGATTTTTCTTTCTCAGATTCTTGACTCGCCCCCATTACCACATTTTGACATTGTCCAAGGTATTCACATCCTTCATTTTGTGAAGGTGAGGATCGGCGTGAAAAAATTCCCTCGTAATTGCGCTCCGAGGAACGAAAGAACGACAAAGTGCAATTATGCGCCGGCGCATACTTTTGCGGTGGCGTTGAAAAGGTGGAAAGAAGGAGACGAACCCATCAAAACCCAAGAAAGGACACCGGCCTGTCTCACCTTCGCTTTTTACCTCCCTTCTGACTTCCTTTTGGCGCTGAGATTCGGAAAAAAAAGAGATGTAGGCAGAGTTTATGGCTCCATTCATCTTGACAAGGAAGGTCGCTTTGAGCTTTTTTTTCAAGAAAAATTGCTGGAACTCTGCCAGAACTACTGAGAAAATTCCAGTGATCTCTATAGGGTTTTGACCTTTCAGTGACCACTATAGTAGTCAGATTAGTGGCCACTTTAGGGGTTGAAAATTAGTGGCCAGTGATGTCATTAACGGTGAGTTATGGGTGCTACGACAAGAGCGAGTTTTTCCATTTGCGAGCAGTACTGTATGCGGTAAAGCGCATTGCGTGCATGCACTCTGCGTGTTTACACTTTTGTGGCGTGACGTCATCGCGCCGTACATCTGCGGGTTTTTTTGCTTGCGGGTATTTTTCAATGTTTTTTTCGGAATTTTTTTGGATTTTTTTCCGGTTTGGTTTTCGATTGTGCGAATATTTTTCGAAACAAAAAAAGAAAACTTTTTTTACCTCATAAGAAGGCTCGATTTACCTCATAAGAAGGCTCGATTATGTTAACGACATTGTTTTTCGACTCAATTTTTAAAGCAACAAGAAATCGCAAAGGAAGTTTTTGGCGAAAAAAAGATGTCCCTGCTCCTCCACCCTCAACACCGGTGTTGTACTAAAAATCCAATTTTCGTAAAATTTCTGACAACTCCCTTCAAATCTTTCAATGTAATTTAAAATATCTTGAAGATTTTCTGGGAAAATGACTTTTGTTTGATATGATTTTTCTGTAAAAATTGTTATTTTCTTATTTTCTTATTTTTTGATATAACTTATTTCAATTACTGGTATTTGTTATGATGCAATTGTTTGATATTTTTCCTCTTTGAAATATCAATATTAGCTTACTTCTTTTTTTTTCTATATTTGTGGAGTTGACCTAATAGCTATCTATAAAGAAACATTTTCCTAAGCTGCCCCCTTGACAAACAGAGTTTTCATCAATAAAAAAAAAGTTTTCTTTTTGTTTCGAAAAACAAATAAGCCGGAAAAAAAATTCAAAAAAATCCGAAAAAAAAACCCGCAAGCAAAAAACCCGCAGATGTACGGCGCGATGACGTCACGCCACAAAAGTGTAAACACGCAGAGTGCATGCACGCAATGCGCTTTGCCGCATACAGTACTGCTCGCAAATGGAAAACTCGCTCTTGTCGTAGCACCGAGTTATGACGTCACCGCCTTTAAAAATGACGTCATTGGTAGAGTGTACTTTAGTGACGATACGTATTACTTTGCGACTTCTGATAAATTAAAAAATGACTTCACTAGGCAGAGTTTTGAGAAGTCACTTATGTCATTAACGAGAAATTATGACGTCACCACCTTTTAAAATGACGTCATTGTTTGAGTGCACTTCAGTGACGATAAGTATTACTCTGCGACTTCTGATAAATTAAAAAATGACTTCACTAGGCGGGGTTTTGATAAGTCAGTGATGTCATTAATGGTCAGTTATGACGTCACCACCTTTTAAAATGACGTCATTAGGCGAAGTTTTGAGAAGTCAGTAATGTCATTTATGGAAAAAATTGAATCATGACGTCACCACTTTAAAAAATGACGTCACTAGGTAGAGTTTTGAGAAGTCAGTGATGTCATTAATGGGTAATTATGACGTCACCACCTTTTGAAATGACGTCATTGTTCGAGTTTACTTCAGTGACGATAAGTATGACTTTGCGAATTATGATAAATGAAATAATAACGTCACTAGGTAGATTTTTGAGAAGTCAGTGATGTCATAAATCTGTTCGAGTTCGATGTTCGATGTTCGAGTATACTTCAGTGACGATAGGTCTTACCTAATAAATAAAAAAGCCATGCCAAATTTCCCCCAAAAAGAGGTCCCTTAAGGAAAAGAAAGGAATTTGAGTGGCAAGGGGCGGTGGAGGAGGATCGCAGCCATCCATTATGCGTTTACCTTGGGACCCGTTCAAGGTTTTTTTCCTGTTTTTTTGCCTTTTTGTCTGCTGTTATCTGTACGTTTTTTTGGTTGGAATTTGAATAGTTTCAAATTTTTTTGTGGACTACAAAATAGGTTTGATATTTATTCGGAAGGAGTTGAACTTGGGACTTCCTAGCCTTGAAAGACTGATAATATCATTTTTTTAGAAGGTTTTATGTTCAGTAGGATCTCTTGAAACAATATTGTTTTCCTATTTCAATTTACTGTTCTTAATTGAATGTTCGTGGTCGCAATGAGAATGGCTCAAAGCGTTGCGGTCGTCCTGCGGTTTGAATTAATGTTATAGGCCTTTCATCGCTGTCTGATATACAGTTTTTACGTGTCTGCGTCTCTCTGTTCCCTCACCGGCGAGGTCAGAGAAACGTGGAAATAGCACGTAAACATGAGAGAGACGTCAAGAGATAAGGAGGGCGCAGAGAAGCCCTTTCAAGTCACGAAAAACGGACTATACAACTAGGAAAATTTTGGCTGGAAAAAGAGCTTCAAATCTTTTTTTTAAAAGTACTCTTGGCAGTTTTGGCGCAAGTCGTTTTGAGTCGGGCACAGCCTTGATGTAACTTGGGCATTTTTTGATGCGACCAGGGAGTTTAAAGTCGCAGTGAATGTTCTAAGAGCACTTCCAAAAACTTTTGAAAAAAGCGATCTTTCCATGAGATTCCCTACCTATAGGTAAGAACAGGTAAAGATCAAGGTGAAACCCGGGGAATTCCTCTGCTTCTCTGCCCCCTCCACCATCTGTCAGCAGGTGTTCGATCCCCACGGCGACACCAGCCGGCCGGTTGGTCCGGTCGGTCACCTCCGTTGACCATTTTTGGCTTTTCTCTGCCGGCCCTGCGTCTCTCCGCTTTCGCCCTGTCTCTCGCCCCCCACCGGCCGCCTCTGTCTTGGCCGTGTACGTTTGTATTGTCGTCCTGTGTTAGTGTGTGGACCTTGATACGAATTTTGAACCACTTTTTTCAGTCTCATTTTTTAATTAGGAGTCTAATTAGGCTAATTATTGACAGGTAGATTTTTTTAAATGGTTTTTGATGTTTTTGTTTTGAATGTGTGTGTTTTGAGACTATTTTTGCAGTTCTATATGTTCATTATGAATTTGATTAGGCTAATTAGGGGCAGGTAGATTTTTTTTTTTGGTTTTTGGATAGTTTTAGGCTTGCTTTTAATGTGGCTGGTTGTGGAAATTGCACTTTAGGAGGTTTTGAGTCAATTTTTTTCAGTTCTATATGTCAATTAGGAGTTTTATCAGGCTAATTAATGATAACTTGTTTTTTTTTTTTGAAAGGTTTTTGCAACGTTTGAATTTTTGAATACGAGTTTGATTAGGCTAATTAGTGATAACTTAATTTTTTAAGATTTTTGCAAAGACTTGTTTTGAATAGTTCGGGTCGTTGAATACGTGTGGTTTTGAGCCAAATATTTAAAGTTCTACCTGTTAATTAAGGTTCAAGGTAATGATAATTAGAATAATTAGTGATATGATTCAGTTTTTTGGCGTTTTTGTGTGTCTTTTTTTCTTTTAGGACTCTTTTTGTCAACTTTTGAGTCCAGTTTTTAGTTTTATTAAACGTTTCAGTATAGGTAATTAGGCACATTGGAAGTAGTATTGACTTTATTTTTTTTTTGTTAGGTCTGGGATTTTTTTAGACCTGTTTTCAACAGGTTTCGATCATTGAGAGCTTCAATATTTGCAGTTTGTGCTAATTTTCTCCATTTTTCTTCGTAAATAATTGAGATTTTTCGATTTTCAGCATTTTTTTTCTGTCGTTAAAGGTTAGGTAAACTCTTTTTGGCTATTAAAAAAAATTTTTCGATTTTTGAATTTTTCTTTTAAGGGTCTGAAATTTGTTTGCATCCGATCACATTTTTTTCTGAGTTTATTTTTAATTTTTTTGCATTAAAATGAAGCTAAAATCGAAACTAGGCAGGATAATTAGTATTAGAACCTTTTTTTGGACTGACTTTTTTTAAAATCCTATAATTTTTTTCATTTCAATTTATCTCATTTGTTCCTGAAACTAAACATTTTTTTCAAACGTTTTTTTGATTTTTTTCAAACTGATCATTCTTTGATTTCCATGTTAAAAACTTGAAAAAAACAGAAAGAAAAACGCTTTAAAAATGTTTTTCCCTGTTCCCATGATAAACCGTACCCATAATCCTTGAGGTATTTCCCAAAATGCGCACATTTTTTTGCTTATCAATGGGAAAAATTTGCATCTTTCCACAGTCTCCGCCCACGTTATTGCCCAGTTTATGACTCATTTATTTCTTTCTTTACTTATTTCTTTTTTTCAATTTCACGCATGGAGTGTTTTTTTCGATTTATGTAGAGCTGAGGCTTTTTTTATTTTTTTCTATAAATGGAGGGGTAGCTTTTTTTGATCGGGTAAGAGCGCTCTAACGATAAAAATTTGGGGAAAAACTGAGCTTCCAAGTACAACTTATCATTGGAATTCTTAATTTTTTTCGTTTTTCAAGTTTTTTTGATTTTTTCGATCGGAATATTCCTGGATTTGTCTCAACTTTTGTGGTAATCATGATGATCAGAAAATGATCAGAAAAAACGAAAAAGTTTTTTTCCCATTGAAATAGTCAAATTCCAATCTTTAATATCCCCAAAATCTTCCAGTAACTCCACTATGAACCTTTTTTCGTTTTTTACGATTTTCTCATTCAATTTTCGATTTAAATTGGATTTTTTTGTAGTTTTTTCACCTGTATTCCCACCTCAATCTCTTCCCAACATTCAATCAAGAAACATGAGCACTCCTCCGATGAAGGTGGGTTTTTTTCTTTCAGACTTCTATTATTTAGCCATAGAGCGCAGAAAGTTATGTATTTTGGGCTCCGTGGACTTTTGTTTATTTCATGATGATATCTAGCTGGAAAAGAGTCACAGAAAAAGATGAGCCTTTAAAAATTGTCTCTAATATTGAAACAGACTCGAAAAAAATGTTGAAAATCTTCTCGGACCTTGGTAACGCGAAACGGACGTGCTCCGGACGTTTCTGGGCGATTCTAGGGATCACTTAAGCGCGTTGAGGCTGCTAAAGTGGTCACTAGAAATGCCCTGACACGTCCGATTCGCGTCCCGTTCGCGTTACCAAGGTCCGAGTTGACTTTTGGAACTTTTTTTGTTATCCATGGAGCGCATATGTTTATAGTTAAGAGCCTGATTGACTTGAAACAATCTGACCAGGTGAGACGGTATTCAATCGATAAAATTAACACCAGATCGGTCATAACTTGTGAAATAGTTTTATTCTCCATGGAGCACAGTTGTATATAAAACTCAATTTTTCGAGGCTCTTTTTTTGTCTCTTTGTCTCGAGCTACTTGAGATCAATCAAAGACGATATCCCTGGGAAAAAATTACCGCTAGGACGGTCTTAATTTTGGAATAATTTTTGATTATCCATGGAGCACAAAAGTCTTTAATTTTCAATTTTTCGAGGCTCTTTTGTCGAATTTTTTTCTCGAGCTACTTGAGATCAATCTACGACGATATCCCTGTGGAAAAATTATCGCTAGGACGGTTATAACTTGTGTAATAGTTTTTCTCCATGGAGCACAATTGCTTTTAATTCTTGATTTTTCGAGGCTCTTTTATCGTCTCTTTGTCCCAAGCTACTTGAGATCAATCTAAGACGGCATTATATTGAAAAAATCACCGCCAGGACGGTTAGAACTTGTGAAATAGTTTTTATTCTCCCTTGAGCACAAAAGTCTTTAATTTTCAATTTTTCGAGGCTCTTTTATGATCTCTTTGTCCCAAGCTACTCCATGACTCATTTTCAACTCTCAACACGTCGGAAAATGTCTTGTTCCAAGTACACGACAAATAAAAGAGTCCGAAAAAGAGAGTGTGAAAAGAGAGCCGATTGGAATCGAAGTGTGGGGGCGGAAGAATAATGTCCGACGATTTTTTTCGTGTCTGGCTTCTGTTTGCCGCCCGGGTAGAGCCGACCGATCGTTGGCGCGTCGGTAGCAATCGAAATCTGAGCTTTTTGTGCAAAGAGAACACCTTTTTCCTACCCCCCTTTCGATTCGCGCCAACCGTTTCCGGAATTGAACTCGGCTACTTGACGCAGTGACGCAATCTTTATGATTTTTTTTTTGAATTTGTTTGCCTTTTTCATTGAGTTAAAGGTTACTGTAATCCTAAGGTGAAGCTAGACGTGAAAAGTTCATTTATTTGAGATTTCAATATTCACAAAGATGCCAAAAATCTGATATTTTAGGAAAACATTTCTGAAAAAAAATCTTTTTTGACAAACTCATCCAAGGAAGGCTTAAAAATTTTGAAAATTGATTTTTTCTATCCACCTCGATTTGAAATTTTCTAACATGTCTGCGCCCTCTCAATCTCTCGTTTGCACGGTTTTTTATTCACTTAGAAACTCCAGAGTGGTCTCTATAGGGGCAACTTTAGGGACCAATTTACCAACCCCTATAGGGGCCACTAAAGCTTGCCAAAGGGATCCCTATAGAAGTTTCAGTTAGTGGCCCCTATAGGGGATATGCTATTCGATAATTGTTATGAACTCTATGCGAAGAAGCATTTCCATGAGAAAAACTGAATGAATAAACGTTTTTGAATGAAATTGAGAGACCCCTATAGGGTCCACTTGAGCTTTAGAGGCTAAGGGGTCAGACCCTAAATCCCTATAGGGACCACCTTAGTTTTACCCCTATAAGGACCACTTTTTCGACCCCTATAGAAATTTTTGACTGACAAGTCGTGCTGAATGTAGAATTTCCAACTCTAAAAAATGGTTTTTAAAGATTTTCTGTGTATTTTTCGGAATTTTGAAGCCTGAAGTTCCTGAAAATCATTCATTTATTTTATTTCGAGATGTTTCAGAAACTTTTTTTTCCACGGAATTGAGTTATTTTTCCCTTTTTTCTCATCGACGTTTTTCAACTTTTCTTCCAATTTTCATAACCTTGAAAAAAGATGTTTTTGACCTTTTTTTCGCTAATGAGGAGGAAAGTTTAACAGAAAGGGTCAGCTGTCATTTTTCGTTTACCTAAATATTTGAACAAGGCTTTTTTCTCAGTTTTGTTAGGTTTTCGGTTTGACGTTCACTGTTCAACAGTGAACAAAAAACTGCAACTGGAGTCAATATTTAGTCGTAGTTTGGATGAATTTTTGTGAGAAAATGTTAAGGATAGAGAATCTCGAAGCTTAAAGTTATGCCCTTGACACTGAATTAGCTTTTTTTAAGCTTAGCTTCTCAACATATTTTTTTAAAGGGTAAAAATCACGTTTGAAATGGGTTTTGAAAGAAATTTTAACAAAAACCTAGGAAAAAAATTTATTTTTGGGTATCGATTAACTGAAAAATTGTAGGGCTTTTAAATAACCGAAAATTTCGAACCCCCCTATTTTTCAACAACCCCCCTTTTTCAAGAGGGGGGTGTTTTTCATTTTTGCTGACGATTAACCGAAGTTCTGACGCGATTTTTTTATAATACCGGAAGAAAAACAAGTCCAACCAAGAAAAACAGCCAAAGAGGAGGAAATGAAATGTTTGCGCGGCGATGATGTGATGAGTCATCGCGGCTGAAATTTTTGCAACAACTCGCTCCGACACTTCCCCCTACACAACGTTCCTGTTTCAGACATTTTATTATAGTTTTTCTGGATTATTTATTTTTTTCGACATATCCAAAATAGTTCAAGTATTTTTGCAAATTTTTGTAATTCCAAAAGATTTTTGAATAGGTAAATTTAGTAAATTATTGAAAAATCGCTATTTCTCAATGAAATGAGTTACTAACAAGGGAGATCATTTTACTTTTCAGGATTTTCCTGGAAATTTGTCAGGATGCTCTTCGATGTACCAGGAGAAGATTCTAGAAGTCTCAACCTACATGAATTCCTAGTTTTCGAGAAAGGAATTATGAAAACCCTCAA